TTACTGATGTCATTCTGGGCAGTGGACTTTTGTTAAGTGCTAGTTTTATTTTGAGAGACGTCTCTCCAATACAAAGCCAACCGCATTTATCTGCGTTGAGCTCTAACCCCCAGCGTTTGTACCAGTTGTCTACCTTGTTGAGTTCATGTTGGATTGTTTGCATAGTACTACGTACATCACCAATGTCAGTTTATAGATGACCTTTAAGTCATCAGCGTAGAGGTAAGTCTTACCTGTGGTAAAGCACTTGCATATATTGTTGATATGAATTATAAAGAGCAATGGACCAAAGACACTACTCTGCACAACATCACTGGTTATTGGTCGAGGTGTATATGTTGTAAAGTTAATCTTGGTTATTCGGTATCGTTTGTGAGGAAAGATTTAATCCAGTGCAATACGAGGTTTATAATTCGAACTAACTGAAGTCTGTTGATTGGAATATTATGAGGTACTTTATCAAAGGCTTTCTTTATATCGGAATATAGTCTAATCACTAGCTTCTTCTGGTCACGTATGCGAGTAACCTTGTTAAAGAAGTCTATCAGACATGTACTGCAGGACCGTTTTCTAATGAAGCCATGTTGTAATGGGTCTATTAGTTCTTCCTTAAGTAGGTGACCAGATAGTTGACTTTGCATCACTTTTTCCATTATGCATGATATAACTGGAGTGATATTTATGGTCTGTAGTTTTTGACCAGGTTTCTAGGACCTGATTTGTGTTTGGGAAGAACATACGTTACCTTCCAGGCTTCAGGATATGTACCCGCCTCTAAAGATAGTGTGTATATTTTGAGCAATAACATCTGTATATCTGGTCCTGACATTTTATGGAGGATTGATGGGATGTCACGGGCACCAGAACTCGCATTCGGCTTAAGGGTTTTGATGGCAGTTTGTATACCTCTAATGTCAAAGTTTATGGTACTAAGATAATTTTTGCTGATGCACTTTATGTTAATATCTGGGATATTAGATGTGTTCCCGTTTTGGGAAAACCATTCACTTAACATTCATTCAGTATTGTTTGTTTGAATCCTCTCATCGATTTGTTAGGACTGAAACTTGTCAGTCTCTAGAGTGAACACCAACTCTGAGATGCGGATACATACAGCTGACGAGTCTCAAATAGGACGAAACGCGCTTCCTGGATTCTACTGCTAACCACTATCCATCTCTGCTTACCATTCACTTAACAGTTCGCATATTACGGTTTGGTCATAATACGTCATGCCATCGTGCAGTAAAGAGTGAATATTGTGATCTTCGTTCTTTCTTATGCGTTTTGCAAGGAACCGATATAAGTTTTGGGCTTTAGATGCAGCAGTGAGAGCTGTACGTTCTACTGCTTGTTTATGTTTGTTGTGGTGATTTTGCAATACTTCAGAGAGTACAGAGTATATCTGGTTCAGGGCAGTGAAGTCTTTTTACATATAGTACGTCCTTCTTAGTATTCGCAGCTTTGACTTGGTCTTTTGGTTGAAAGGCCACTTTAGAGGGAATGGTAATGTCTAATGCAGGTGGCCGTATTGAATATTTCTAACGTTTCTAAAAGGTTATCACTGGGAAAGAGACTGTTCCAGTCAGAATACTTTATTAGAAACTGAAAGTCTTCCTAGTCAGCATTTCCATATTCTCTATATTGGAAACGCGTATTTAATGTCTATAATTTGTTGCACTTGGCAAGAATTGGAAGAGTGCAGAGGACTATTTTGTGATCTCTATTATGAAACCTTTCACCAACTACCATTGATATTGGTGTGACATTGTGACAGAATGCGATTTCTTGTGGGCAGGTGCACATGTCGCTGCCAACTGTGTATATCTAAGGACTTAAGTATTCCTTCATAGCACAGTGGGCCGGAATATGTCTTTCAGTTGGTGGTTGTAAGGTTGAAATCACCACAGATAATTTTGTAGGCGAAGTCAAGCGAGGATTTAGTATTATTTCGCATTACATTGTTTGAGCGGTTATAGCTATTAGAGCAATATCTGTGAAGGTTGTTTTCTGGCTTTTTATCGAAGACACAAGGGTAGTGCTTGGGCACTGTAGTGGCATAGGTGGGTGGGCATTTTGAGGTAGCTGAGGGTTCGGGCGTAGGATGAATGGTCACAGCTGCCTGGTGTTCAGTCTTATTCTTAGGACTAGTAGCAGTGTGCGATGTGCCTCCGTTTTTAAGAGGGGGAGGGTATGGTGTTTTAGGAACTATGCGATGGCCAACGTTATAACTACTGCTACCACGTAGGCTGGGTTGATTGTTTTGTACTTCATTGAAGTTTCGACGTTGAATATCAGTCTTGTCATGGGTGATCCTAACCTTTCTAAATGTTGGAAAACGCCTCAGTAAAGACTGACTTTTGAGGAAGTGATTGGTTTCTATGATACTACTAAACTGAAATAGAATGGGACAAGAGGCTTTAGTCTGCGCTTTGCGTAATCTTCTTGTTACACACCATGATTGCGACAATCCACATTCTTTTAGCAGAGTATTTTTTAGAAACCTTCAGGTTCGTACTATCAGGTATATTACACACACTGACATTGTGCATACACTGAAGTCTTTTCAACACTTCAGATGATATGTGGTCAGTAATAGCAAATTCAGTGAATTCATTAGAGGAAACAGATAGCACAGTAGGTGTGGAGTCTGGAACCACATAGATGTTAGTAACATATACATATTCGTATTTATTCAAGTGTATGTAACGGTATCTTAAAGTTGGCGTGTCGATAAAGTCATTTAAAAACTTGAAACATGCATAAGTAGATCGACACCAGTTCACGTTTACAAACGTAGCTACACCTCCGCCACACCTCTTTTCATTGCTTGACCAATCGTGACGATAAATATTGTAATCACGCAGTGATACTAAGCAATCGTCCTGTAAATCAGTTAACCAAGATTCTTGAATTGTGATGACACCACAATTACGATACATGTTTTGACTTAGTAGGAATTAAAGATAGGCCACCTTGTTAATTAGTGATTGACAGTTAGAATTTAGCAGTTCAGGAATCGGCGTATGATTGATGTTCATTCTCTTCAGTGCATATTGCTGACCACCACGATGTCGCTTATTGTACTTTTTCGTAAATTGCGCAGCGAAAGGTAGTAAGTCTTTCATAAACGCGCCTTCATAGGTTATGCGATTATTATACATAGTGAGGTGTTGAAAGAAAGTAAAAAACAGATAATTTGTGGAAACATTAAGATGTCAGAAACAGGTAGCCCAGGTATTCAGGCAGGCCACCTATTATACATAATTAAAAGCGAAATGTTTTAAACATATGACACAATAATCCATCATAACCTCCAAATATCCCAATGGACTTGGAAGAAGTAAGGTAATTAGTAGTGTTTTTCTCTGTCGTACAATATCTAATTCCTTTAGGAGTCTATAGGCTCCAGATTAGTAAGAAAAGAGCTTATCTCAAAACATACGTGAGATATCAGATGGGATACTACATATTATTAAACCTTTCCACAGTGTGATAGAACTTTATTTTTGGAGAAGTGACAAAGTATACTTGTTAAAGAATTCGAAGGCAGCAGTTACTAGTTGTCTTCAATCTTCAGTAATAAGGATAGTGGGGTGGTGAATCTGTGTTAATCCTGACAGATCGCCTTCAAGTGAAGGTCCAGTTTCTCTTTAGAAATGTTCACTGATGGGGCTGATATCACTTGTTCGGATAGAGCGTTCCAGTCATTGACCACTCGATGAGAAAAATGGGACCCCACCTTTAGTTTATTAGATCGCGGTTTGTGAATCTTCCTATTATGATCTCGGAGATAATTAAAGACACGAAATGCCATTATTAGGTCATCTACGATAAGACAAGGGGAAAAGTTCAAGGCGTTTTAAATGCTCATTGTAAAAGAGCTTAGAAAGACCTTTCGCTAATTTCGTCCTCACACGCTGGACAAGCACAAGTGAGTTAGTATCATATACCAGACATATGCTAGCTGCTTGGATACAGTACTCTAGGTGTGTACTTATGTAGGTGGGATATAAAATTCGAAACATTTCCTCCTGATGACAGATTCCACTAACCGCGGATCTTGTGCGTGTCTTTTAGCAGGGTCATTGTCTTTCAACTCCTCTAGATTGCGAATAATTAAACTAGGAACGTGTTTAATGTCCTTAAAAGTCGTGTTTACGGCCTTCGATCATGAAGTCAGATCCTGTCTGTTAACTGCTGGTGTCTTACCATTAGCTTTCCTCGTAACAGTGTTGTGTGAATCAAGCGAATAAATCACAACAATTTTTGATGGGGCCAAACTTTTCCCATCTACGATAAGGCTATATATTGCCTTAATTTCGAACTTTAGTAGAGTAACCTGACACGCAAAATATGAGTCCAACAAGGGCTTTTCAACTAAACGGGCGCTTTCTTTGGCTGTCTTTCCTTCTCTTCTACGTTTTCGCGTCATCTATTTCCAATCAGTCGCAACATCCAGATTAGAACTACTCGGGACGATAGTAGTTCTATCCAGATAATCGGTTGCTGCTGTAGCAGCTTTACCATCAATATCTAGTGGTGTATTGCTCATTAATTGATTCGGGAAAAAAACTCTATTCCGTGTTGCACAGTTGGATGTCTGGCAGGTGCCGTGACATCACTTAAGACATTGGCACATTCTTCGTTATAGGTATCCATGTTGCCGGTACAGCCTCGTCAACCTTTTTGTTAGCTAATGCCAGAAGACTAATTGCTTCTCAGATAAGCAATAATTTGTTCGAACAACAAAACATACAGAGCAAATTAGAATTGGGCTTTGAGCACCTTTTATAGGCAGTGGGACTCAAACAGATGTACATCTTATGGAACCACTACTTACACTCGTCACATTGCATTCCTTCTGCAACAAGGAATCAGCATTATGGCTGTCCACACTTGTGAGAAGAGCCAGCCATCTAAAAAACTAACTATAATGGTGGACAAAGTGGATTCGTAAGACAAATCTCAAAATTTGATCAAATAAATCAAGTTTAAGCCGACCAAGGATGCTTTATGCAGCAACTACACGAAAGGAAGATCAAAACATACAAATACAATATCAGTTTAACTGAAATAAATTCAATTTAGGTGTAAGCAGTAGTTCTGATGCGCAATTTGCGATTGAAGCAGTCAATTTAAGTGACCGAGAAACAACATAACTGTCTTTTTTAATGGCGCGCGTTATATGAAATCGGAGACTGAAACAAATAATGAATCGTGTGAAATGAACAACGATGGCAACAATATTTCAATTAACGACGAGCTCATCGCGTGAATGCGGAAGGTTATGTAAATCTGTCACTCAAAATATTAAAAGAAATAGATCAATCGGAATACTGACAAAAATCTGGCGCGGTTTTCAGCTGACAACTGTGTAACGGTAATAAAAACCATTACATGCAACATTAATAATGCGTGTTTGTATTTCTCATTACAGGGCAACAAAGAGTGAATGCACTGGAAGAAGAAGAAGAATAAGCCCTACGCCGTCTGAACCTGCAGAATAACGAGTAAAACTATTTTGTAATAACTTTTCCCTTTTGTACTAAAAACCGCGTTTTTCAATTTCAAATATATCTGCTGCACCAGCACACCGTGTTCTCACTTCAGACGCACTTGTCTGTCCTGACTGTTGTGTTGCTGTTTCAGGTCGCTCCTGCTCCCAAGTAAACGTCGAAATACAACGTGCTACAACTGTTTGACAACGGTAAGCTTGGTTTGTTGGTTAATAAATAATCAGGTACATGACGCTAAGATATATTTCTGTCTTTATAACCGTTTTTCATCTATTTTGTACAGCCGAATAAATCAAAAAGAATATTTTTAGTTACAGCTGTATTTCATTCTTAATAGTAATACCTGGACAAAGGTAATATCACTTAAGGTCAAGATTGTTTACAAGTGTCAAAAGAAAGCTCGTAGCATTGTATGTGCAGGGGGGTCAAACAAAGCGATACAGTATGATACAAATCTTTATGAGAAGATAATGATTCCTGTGATATTTTATTCAAGGACATATTGTCCAGTGTCTTGTTTACTTGTAGTGAATAGCTAGGTGCCTAGTCAATCCGAGTTCAACGTGAAACACATCTCGATATAAGTGCTCTCCTCATTCCTTTGCTCTGGTCAATCAAGGGCACTAGTAACTCAATGAGCAACGGTTTTATTTGTGTCGTTCAAACAGCCTGAAGTGGCCAGTCGTATGACCTGTAATACTTTGGGACTAGGGTCACTGGACGTTATTTTGTTGATATTTCGGTAGGACTAAACTATACTGCCTAACCAATCAGCTTTCGCGGGTTTTCAAGGTCACGGCGCTGAGTTCGGTACCTGATGCCTACGTACGATCGGTTTACAGCGGATTTTAGGGAAGAAGTGATAATTCAGCGTCTACAAGAGAAGTGATCATAAGATTTTGGCGTGAAATTCAATTATCCATTTGGATAAATAGGGTTTTGGCATTATAGCTGATGTCAGTTCGTGATGAAAACCCTAAGTATAATTCCTAGCCTTAATCGTGAACTTCAAATCATAATTTGAATTCTTCACACAGGTTTATACCCTCATTTGGTCTTAGTTATTATGTTGACATTTTCAGAGTCACTCTAGCGTCACTCAAAGGTTGTCCATAACTTATTGTCTCACCTATAACCCTAAACCGTAAATCATACCAATATACTAACATTATTGAAACTGTGGTCGAGGCGAAAAAAATTTTTGGAACCTTATCATGGTTTCAGAGGTCGACTACTATTGAGCCATATGGATGTGTTCCTGTACCGTATGCACTATGATTTTAGAACTTCTGAACCTATGTCTGACCTTGAGAAGTTTTTGACTCATGTAAAAGAAGTGTTTCCACTCTAATTCTTTGGTTTTGTACAGTAAATTTTTACTGTACACTAACTGTCTTCTGATTGGCTAATATTTCTCAAGGTCATTTAGGATTCGTTCAAAAGTCGGCAGTATAGTTTAGTCTAATCAAAAAGTCATCTATATGTTATTTTCCCCTCGGATGATTGACCGGCTACTTGAAATAATAAGAACACTATAAACTTTGACAAAATCGTAAGCCACCTATGATTCGCGTGGCTATCGTAACCAATAACAGGATACTCTTTGTGACATGGCTCAGAATCGATGACATTGGCGTGGGTGTACACACTGTCTTCCTTTAAACCATAAGATTAAAATTGCTTCATATCTGTCTTTCTTTCTGTACTATGTATAATCTCACATATTACCATCGCCTAATTAACTGCCTATATAAATTCGGTGTTCGTATTGTTGTGCTAATGAGGTTATGGCATCACGGACCGATGCATATATATGCCTGGTCCTACATTGTAGCTGACTGACTGACTCACTTAGTTTTCACGGGTTACGATATACTTCATGCTACAAACAACTCGTGTAACGCCATCGATACTATATTAGGTGCGTCGTCCATAGAATGTTGTTTCATAGTTTTAGTTTTTGAGATTTAAAATCAATTCTTAACTTTATCTAAAGTGACTAAAATCAGTCATAGACCTATGAATCTAAAGAGCATTTCAGTTTAGTTCGATAATGTGACTTTTCACGTAATTTTTAATAGTATCAGTCAACGTCACTCAATGTAAAAACGGTGCTTCCCACTTATTATTGGTCTTAATTTGAAATATTTTGAGGAATATCTGGAAATACTGGGTTTGTGTTGTTCATATTAGTGAAAATTCTCAATATCATAAATACCCATGAAAGTTGCCTGGAACATATACTGGTCTTAAAAACTAACCTCATAAGGATTAAATTGTGGCAAGTTGGATTGTAAACACACTTTCCACTTCTTGAGACCAATTAAGCTTTATAATTACCTAGCGTTTTGTGATACATGGGATTATGTTGCTCTCTTTTTCTTTGACATGGTGATCGATTATTAATGGATTGAATAAAAACTCGAATGCAACTGTTCCTAAATGTACATTTAATTAACTTGATTGACTGACATATGTGGAATGGTAATAAACAAAATATAATAGGACTTAATATACATAACTAGACCCAAATTATATTATTATCTTCCAAAACCAAAATTGTGAATAGTGAAATTCGTCCTCGGATTGACTAGCCTGAATATTTAACTATTCGCTTAATATAAAAATGACAGCGGATAATAAGTTTTTGAATAGCTTGTCACGAACAATCTTATATTTTTGACAAATAGTCCCATCAAAAACACGAGTTTATTACTGTTGACAACTGGATTATTGCTATGAAAGTTCAGATATTAAAATTCGTCATTTTTTATTGTTACTTCTTGTCAATGCGTGACAGAACAGTTCAGGAATCAACACTCAACCGTGTGCATTTGGAATCGATCGAAACTGTGTCGGTTCTCTGTCTTGTTTGGGAAGGCTTCTCTGGGTCCTCAAGGTGGCTTTCTAATCGTATGAAGTAAGCTAATGTTTTTATTTTCATTGATAAAGTCTATGTTGGCCATGTTATTTAAAGGACTGTGTATCACCAAACTGGGAGCTTAATGAAAATTGTGCAGAGTTTTGGAATGGAACTTCCAGAGACAGTGGCGTTGAAATCCTGACGTACGAAAAGTTCCAGAATTATTCGGACGAATTGGTAGAGTTGCTCAGATACCACCTGAGTTTTGAGCCTGGTGAAGGCAAATTATCAGTTGTCGCAGTGGTCTGGGCTCCTCACATACTAACAAATGTTGTAATACATGGGATTGTTAAATCAGGACTTCCTTTCTTCCCTGTACTTAGCTCATCGGCATCCCATGGTTTGGTGACGCTCAAAAATCACATTGACGCCATTGTTTTGCTTTGCAATTCTTCTGAACTTATTCCTGTTGAGGGTTTCTCAAAGTACAATAACAGTTCCACAAGTACAATTGATAGTTTATTTTCAAGAGATGATTGGTCCTTATATTTACGTTCCAGTCTGCTTTTCCCGCAGCTTCATCCTTTTCCAAGTCCGTTCATAGAACCTAATAAACACCTTATATACATACTAACTACATCTGGGAGTTTCAGCAAAGAACGAAAACTAGTCTGTGTGGCAGACAGTTGTTTAACAGCCAATGTTATTGACTTAGGTAATCGATTCTCTAGTGAGAAGCATCATGGTTATGAGGTTAATGGTGTTCTTCTAGCTTCACCCTTGACGTTTGATCCAAGTATTGTACAGATTTACTTCGCACTGTTGACCCGTCGTACCTTAATTATATGTCCCTCATCAATTCTCAATGTACCCAAAACCTTATACACGTTGTGCATGAACGCGAAAGTCGGTTGGCTGCAATGCACTCCAAGTCAAATCTCTGGTCTCAATCGACGTCTTCTTGATAGGTTTTTGTCACAACCAAGTTTCCATGTTTTACTTGGTGGGGAACCATTCCCTTTAAATGATCTCAGGAGTTTTAAAAACCACAAATCTGTCCTTTATAATATTTATGGTACTACAGAAGTCTCCTCGTGGGCCTCTTTGTTTAAAGTCAGTTCATCTGACAGATATTGTATCAACAATGACATTCACTGCGAATGTTCGCCTCCTTTGCTTGGATCTTCACCTCTTGGTTTTCCGATGCTAGGAACTAGTTTCTCACTAATACCATCCAATATGGAAAATGTCTGGGAATTGGGACTATCCCGTCAATATGGCGGGTTTTACATATTACGTCCCAAAGAAACAACTATTACTATTCAGGAATTTTCCTACGCTCTTTCACAACTACCTTCTCAGAGTATATGGCCTACTTCTGATTTAGTGCATTACGGTCAATGCGGGAGGTGTTTATGGTTTCTAGGAAGAAAAGACCGTACAATCAAACGATTTGGATATCAAATTTGTTTAGAACGTCTAGAACATGTCATAAAAACGTGCAAGTCGCCAAACCTCAAGATCAGTAATTGTAGATGTCAGGTTTTTGAAGGATCGACTGATCAAAATTCCATCATTTCATTCATTGAAATTGAACCTCATTCCTATAAATTTTCTAGAAAGCCTTCAATATTTCTAAGTTACAGCTACAAAAAACACACTAAATGGTATATCTTAAAAAAACTAAAGTTTGTTTTCGCCCCGAACCATCAACCCTGGCTTCCTACACACTTTGTATTTTTTAATCGCTCTCTACCGATTTCATTACACGGAAAGTTAATGTACAGACCATATGAATTCTTCAAATCTTCAATGTCCATCAAGTCTAAGGTCATTGCCATGTGGAATGAGTCTCTTGGGTTAAGCAGAACGACTGTAACTGATTGGGATGCAACATTTATGGAGGCTGGTGGTTCCTCTTTAATGGCGTTGCATCTAGTTGAAACAATAATCCAAGAATTTCCAGTCTTGATCAATAAGAAGGAGAATCTTGTATCATTAATATTTGCGCATTCATTATCCCGTGTGTGTGAGTTCATTTCACTATCTTCCTCTATTTCTATGAAGTCCAAAACACGTTTTCCAAAATCCATTCCAAACAAAAAAGTCTATCAAAGCAAATTTGAAAATGAATTCCAAATGACTGTTAAACATAATTACCAACATCCATTTGATATGTACACACATGGTTCTGTATTGAAGTTGCCTGGTTTATTACCCCGAATCAAATTCAAATTCTTGTGGCAACATAATCTGCATAAGTGTGTAGATGCCTCACCTTTAATCCTTTCTGGTGTTCATGGGTTTTCCAATGGGTGCGCTTTCATCGGAAGCCATTCCGGTTCGATTTCTGCTTTGTATGTCTCGAACGGCCACACAGTATGGCCGAACGCAACAGTGTCACTACCGGATCGTATCGAGGCCTCCTCTACACTTGGATTCGCAGGTTCAAGTGCTGTACTTGTTGTCGGATCTTTAGACGGTAGTATTTATGGTTTGGATATTGAGTGCGGAACTTCTCTGTGCTCATATAACACTGGGGGCGCTGTTAAGTCCCCTGGATCGTATGTATATGATTACGGATTTCTAGCATGTGGCTCTCATGGCAAACTAGTCCACGCCATAGATTTACGTTCCCTGAATATGAAACCTATTTGGACTAATTCTTTTGATGGAACACCCATTGTTTCTCCCGTTATTGTATCATATATGTCTCAAACAAGCACACCGTATCTTATTATTGCAAGTCTTGGAGGAACTATTGGTTGTTTAGATCCTAGAAACCCATCACATTTGGTTTGGATGAGGAATGGAAAAATGCCCGTTTTTAGTAAACCTCTTCTATATATGGACTCTAGCTACAAGGTTAATGTTATTATAGCTGGAGTTGGTGGGACAATTCGATCATTTTCTCTAGTGAATGGAAATATTGATTGGAGTTATGAATGTTCTCAAGAACTAAGTGGTCATGCAATATTTTCAGATCCTGTTCTTGATGCACAGTCTCACAATGTTATTTTGAGTACTAATAAGGGCTTCTTATTCGCTTTGAACGTTGTAAATGGCAATTTAGCATGGATGCTCGATTGGACATCTGATTTAAATTCCAAAAACCTATGTTCTTTAAATACACCTTCTTTATTACAAAGCGATGGGCACAGTTTATTGATTGGAACAAGAGCAGATGGTTTGGTTTATGGATGTTCATTACCTTCGAGCCTATCTGTCTGGCGGAAAACTCCTACTGTATTGTCGACTTACCATCTACCCAACCAGTGTTTCTCATCTCCAGTTCTTTATTCCGAAAACTCAAATGATGTATATATTGTCACTGGATGTAGAGATAATTATGTTTACGGTTTATCATTGTAACTTCTTTTCCCTTTGTAGAAATTACATCGCCCCAACAGTTTATACTTTTCATTCATAAATTATTTTCAGAATAAAGATGATAATGACTTTCTAGTATTGAATGTTTAATACAATACGGAATTTTTAGCGTACGCTAATAACTATACATGGAATAAGTAGACAAAATTACATTCATTGAAATAAAATCAGCGCAAAATATTATTAGGAAGTGATTTCTACTTAGTTATAAGTTAATTTCCGTAAGAGTACTAGTCATGCTTTCATACCTCTTTGAAAAATAGAAACATAAATTTGTTGGTGTTTTAGACTAAATTTATGATTACGGTCATTTCTTTTTGAATTCGTCGCCGAATCGTGTCCAAGGTTAGGTGTATCATAATAATTTATTCTTTTCATGTGAAATATGGAACTTACCTTGAGTTAGAGGAAACGCTTCACAAACACTAACTACATCAGTTTTAGTCTCGTTAAGAAAGCCAAGACGTGTTTTCATTTTGATTTATTTAAACTAGTTAACACGCAAACAAGTTAGATGAACGAGCTTATAAATAACCTTGCTAATCTCATTTGATTAAAAATGGTGGTGTATCGGCTTTTAACTAGTTAGGTTGGTGAGAAATCACTCAGTAAGAATTTTTAATGTAGCTGATATTCAAGAAAATATTGATTGGTAATACTTGTAAACAGTAAACAAGAATTACGTTTTGCTATTAAGTAAACTGAATAAACACAAACCATTCTGATTAAGACGTCAACCATTTTAAGATGTTGTTTCTATGCATGCCGGTAGAATAATGGGTTTTATTTACGCTTTGAAACATGTAGTGTTCCAAGCTAGGTTTCTGATTTCAGACATTTATCTTTCGACCAAGTGCAAATCCAGCCATTAGTTTTGGTCATGTATTCTTTGGTTTTCAAGGCTAGATTACTTCTATAGGAGAAACCCGAATTTCTGTAATGCTGGAAGTCTTATGACACGTATTTTTCATCACAGAATAGCTCTTATTGTTTACTTCAATCTGTTTGCCAATACAAAAATTCTAAAAGTTGTTAGTATCAACAATATAGATATCTCTACCATAACCCCAATGTTTCAGAAGTTCAATATCAACCATCCAAAGTATCTGTAATTGATATATTGGTTTTCTTCACTATTCTATTATTAATAAGGCCTTTACTAGCTTCCATGGCGTTTACCTCTTCATTTCATGATTTTTATATTCAATTACTGAACATAGTGAAAAAGCGAGAAACATTACTGTTTTTGGTCTATTAGTTTGTGTACGTTCGTGTCTTTGCTCTTACAGTAGATAGAAATTTAAACACTACGCAACCCAGGAATTTGTAAGCTTTCCTATAAGAATAATCTTTTTAAAAAGATTGCAAATATCGTTTTATCATCATAAATGTACGATCAAAGCCATATTAACAAGACTCCTATGTACCAGTGATAACTAATCGTCGAATAACAATGTTTCATTAAGTCTCATGCTCAGATAAAGTACACGAATGTTGTGGTCACGCGAATTTGTTCGTCAGTTATTGATCATAGACTTTCTATAATTGTTTAAATAATATTGTAATGTTGTTTTCACCTAGTCTGGTTATCCAAACTCATAACAAAGCTTTAAAGGGCTAATCTACTAGCACTTAAGTGACAGGTGTTCATACAGCTTTGCATCTGCATGTAAAAAGAACTTAAGTTATTTTCGCCATTAACTTTCACAAAAGTGGTCTGCATACTAGTATGCAAACGTTGGCCATAGATTGATTAATTGTCATGTACGGATAGTAAACTTTGGAACTCTATTCGACAATATTTTTGACTGGAGAATCCCACTTGATAGAAGCAAGTGGCGAAACACTTATATGGTCACTTAAATACAATTCATCGGTGGTTTTGTGGAAATTGGAGATGGATGATATTTGTAAGACATGGTGAACTCGTTCTCGAAAAACTAGGTTCATCGAAGCAACCGATGAATCAGGTGTTTAAATGACTAGCTTTTATCTTAAATACCATGGCAAGAAGTAATTGCCTGAGCTGTAGGTGGATTTGAACATGTTTGCAGTATAATTTGATGTGACAAAACTACCGACAAGCTAGTCGTCCCATCCTTTTTCTATGCGCAGGTTGCATTTTTAGCGAGGTATATAGTTCAGCTGGAATCACCAAATGTTATTTTGATCGTTTAGCTGTCGCATATGCTATGGATAGACAGTTCGACGTGACTGCATACTCAACCCTAGCTGTACGACGCGTAACTACAGCGGTAGTTCGGACTTGCTACATCTACATCTTCATAAATTTGGCAACGTTGTTAGGTAAATAATTTGAAATTTGTAAATTCGACTAGTAAAGACATTTACCATTCCGTCTTTTTACGTGAATTTGTGAACAATCTTCTTCCTGTTGCACGTAGACTAATATGCTTCTTAAGAACAAATACACTTTTCTCTACTCTCTGACTTTAGCGTTCACCGTAACTAACCTAATCATTAAGTAATGCAAGTGACGAAATGAGTTGCAGTACAAATGTAGCTTTCTGAGGTCGCATAAGTCTACAAAAAAATTATCCTAATACAGACAACATACATGATAGCTTTTAGATCCCCTAAATTAACGTACAAGATTGATTGAAAGACTTAAATAACTTGGCATATCCTTTGAACTTTCTTCATGGTAGCATTATAGAGTCTTACGACCATATTTAATCCATTGTTTTAATACCCTATTTTTACCATTCATCCACGGCAAGAGCTAAGCTATTTTTCATGACGTCTTCAAAATATGCAACGATGAGCTAAACTACACAAATACGAAGGATATATTTTAAAGTATTAGATTAGTAACGTTCACCTACGATACTATGATTAATGTATGAGTTAAAGGCATCATACAGATTATATGTGCCATGTCCATTATCTTTACAGCAGTTGGCGATGTCTTTCAGACACACCATTTTGTAAAAGTAAACAGTACTTCCGACTGCTTGGCCAAAAAACCATAGTAAAGAACAACATACTGTATATGATTGTAAGCTATTTTCAGTAACACTTCACAAGCTTCCAAAAGCACAAGGACATTCACCAACACACACATAATAGGATATTTTTTCTCTTCTAAATCATGGTTGCCATATGTTTCAGTGGCTTTTTTTGTCTAGGTAAAATCGCAAACCACAGTATCCGCAAGCATGATTACCTGGTTGGTCCTAAAATAGTTAAAGAAACACAATAAGCATTTCTAGAAATTGAAAATTTCACTGTATTATACTCCTTCAATAACATCTTCAAACCCTTATCTTTCACATAATACTTATACTCTTACTACTTCTACCAATATGGGATTTGAATCGACAACTTCATCTCTGTGCTAATGTGGTATGGCAACTCGAACTGATCTACGTACGTACGAAGTTCTACGTTGTAACTGACTGACTGAGAATTGAAATGAATCATAGGATAGAGTAACAAAAACGTGGACGAGATTTTAGTTCCAGTATAAGAACGAGTATTTGTCTTCATACGGTGATCGAAGTAACGCAGATCGTCAAACAGTAATAAGCAAAACAGAACCTGGGACATATGTTCGTCAGTTATCAAATTGCATTAGTACGAAATCACAAAGACGAATGCCAGAGTCGTATAATTAGTAACAGTAGCAGATAGAATAAGGCACAGGGATGTTTCAGAAATAATGAATATATGGAATAAGAAGTATTAAGTAGTTTCATAAATCAAAATCTAACGGAAGGCAAGGATTGAATGCAACTGCGTCATTGGGAATAACTTTGAGCGGTTCAACACATCTCCAACTATTAATTACGATAATCGCTAGGCCAAACCTGATAACCTGTACTTACCAGCACAACTTAGTTTACTAGTCAAAGACTCTATAGATTAATGCCATGTTTTTGATTAGGTGCCCCTAGTTTCCCAACGTGCATCAGCAAACATCGTGTGTCGAGGTAGGGAATATATAACACAGTCGAAGATCTATTACCTTACCATTCTTACTTAAGATCTCGGGTCCACACTCAGCATTGCTAACGCGATGCTCTAAACGTAAGTGGCCAGTGCTTTGAAGATATCTGTAACCTATAAATATTCTCTATCTTAAAGTCCACATATCAGAGAAAGAACTACTGAACAGTATACTAATTATTTGGTCGAGATCACAATTCGGCAAAACCAACCGAGCCTTTTTAATCCTTGCTGAGGTCGCGTCATACTGGGGCTGATGAAACCGTTCAAGACGAGTGGTCAACACGCTCAACTACTTCACTCCCTATCATTAGTTCGGGTGTTGACGCAAAGCTGTCCTGAAACAACACTTTTTATTTAATGCGAAACAACCCAACCACTCGTCAATTTTTGCTCAATGCGATCGAAAGACTATTTTGTCATCGTCTTCAGTAAAGATAACGTCATTTGCGTGTTAGACGTCAGTAAGTGAATCTCCTTAAAGAAGGTCAATTCCTGAAAAATCAGACGACAAAACCACTGTCCCTCGAAGGATGCACATGAGAAAGTTGGATTAAAATCGAGAAGGCTAACAACCTTGATCTATACCACATGATAATACCAATCCTGGCAACAGTTCGCTGTAACCTTTGACTAAACCGGTAATGTTCGAGTAGTTTGTATAAGGTTGCTGTATTTCTTTAGTGCTCCTTTTCGTAACAACCACAAAACCCTTCGATTTACGAAGTTGGGTCCCGGTTTAATGTCGGGAAATATATTGTTGGGCGCTGGGTAAGTATAAATATGTTCCAAAACATGACGAAACGTGGACATTTGTTAAAAACATTCACGCCCGGCTTTGTTTTCTTGGGCTCGCGATCGTGCCAAATTGCAACATCGGCCTTAGTGGCTCATAAACCTACTGCTACGTGTTCGCCTGAGCAAAAACTGGTTGGCGGCCAGTTCATAACACGAAGTTAGAGATTTTGGGTGTTAGTGAACCAGGTCTCTTTTGTTTTAGTATCCGAAAGTCTGATACAGTGGCTAAACCTTACCAAAAAAAGTTTAGAGGAGAATCATAGTATTAAAATAGGCACCAGATAAAAAGTCGGAAGGTAAATACTAACAAAATATTTATAATAAACAGTTTACTTACGGTCGTATGCCATCTGAAATATGATTATTCGGGTGTCCAGCGGACTCCCACCAGACATCTGTGAGATTGCTAGTTATTTTTATACCTAAAGTCAGCCTTGGATATCCCGTTTGCGTGTTCTCATGCTTTATAACAACTAATCTAACGTTCTAGTTGCGCAAAGTACACATTAATTGTACATACACCCATTTAAATTACCAACAACCGTATATACCTATGGTATATATAGATATCGTAGAAAACAACCTTTCCAAAATAAAGCTGACCAGAATAAACAAATTAGACCATTTAAATTCTGCACCTGAGTTGAAGAAAGAATTATGACGCCTCACGGTGAAAGCCCATATTCTTCGAAATTCACGAGGCCGACGTCCCTTCTAACAACCAGAGCAATAATTAGTAAGTATATGGAATGTTCGGAGAATGTGCTGCGGAAATGAGGAGATACAATTTGGCAGTGCTCAGAATCAGTCAGAACCAAGTTGGACAAAAGATATAACTCCGGGAGAGATACTGTTGTACTCTGGTCATGAAGGAAATCCTTCGCATACTTAAGGAATTGCTCTGATGCTGTCCAAAAAAGCACGTAAAGCTATTATGAGATGGGAATCACAATGAATGTTATGTACCCAACAATAATAGCAACGGCAATGATAACGATCAGTTCTATGAGAAGCTGCAATCGATTATAGCGCAGTGCTCAGGATAGCATCTGATCATCCTGATGGGAGACTCAAACGCCAAAGTCGGAATGGACAACACCGGGTATGAAGATATCGTGGAACAACATGGACTGTGAGAAAGGAACAAGAATGGTGAGGGATTTGTAAATCTATGTGCTTTTAACAACATGATTATAAGTGGCACCATTTACCTCTACACATGCATACACAAGGCAACATAGGTTTCACTAGACCACATTACAGAGAATCAGGTCGAAAATATTTGGATCAATAAAAACTCAGAAAATCCATGGGAGATGTGAGAACCAGGAAAAGAACCGACAGCTTTAGATCACCCCACCTGATTGTGACTGCCGAGGTAAGACTGAAGCTAAAGAAGCACTGGACAACTGGGGAAACAGCATTACAATGGTTCAATACAACCTTCCTTCGACATACTGACAAACTACTCAACGAATTCAAGATAGCTTTCAACAGTAGGTTCCAAGCCTCCCATGATCTACTGAGAGAAGATGAAACCACTATGGAGAACAACTGGAAACAGATCAAAGAAGCACTAACTTCAAAGTGTCAGGAGGTTCTGGGTTGCAACAAGCATCATCATAAGGAGTAAAGATCTACCGAAACCCTGAACAAGAGTCAAGGAAAGAAGAACGATAAAACAGCAATTAACAGCAGCCAAACAAGAACACAGAATCAAACAAGCAAGTGAAGAAGAGCATTAGAGCTGACAAGCAGAAATACGTGGAAGACCTAGCAACAACACTGGAAAAAGCTGCAAGAGAAGGGAATATGAAACATACAATCACTGAAACTCAAGAATAGAGGAACAGATGGGTAGAACACTTTAAGGAACTCTACTAAATCCATCGGATATAGAAGTAGCAACTACAGACCTACTTATAGATGTCACCCCACCAACGACTGAAGAAATCAGGATGGCCATCAGACAAAACAAGTGTGCGAAAACAGCAGAACCTGACAGTATACCACTTGAAGCACTGAAGTAGAACATAGAAGTAACTACAAACATGCTTTACATTCTATTCATGAAGATTTGGGAGGAAGAACACGTGCCACTGACAGAATAGAAAGGACTCTTCATCAAGATACGAAAGAAAGGAGATCTGAGCGAATGTGGAAACTACAGAGGTATCACACTACTATCGGTACCAGGAAAATTTTCCAACAGTGTAGTTGAGCTGAAAGAAAGATTTAGTAGACGCCAAGCTTCGAAATCAACAGGACGGATTCCTTAAGTATCGGTCGTGCAACACCACGGATCATAACTGAACAATCGATTTATTTTTATTTATTTAATCGCATGTATATTGGTACAAAGGGCACAGGATACATATACGCCACACAAAATAATGAGAATGGGAGAATAAAGAAGATGCGTATATATAAAAGAAGGAAAAAAAGGAGAATAGTAATGATGGGGGGAACTGAATGTACAACCAGAAGAGCTCTCTCAGTTAAGAAAGTTATAGCCACTCTTTATGAAGAAAGTAGAAGAAGGTTACAGCAGGACCGCCACTGGCTTCTATTCTGAGCCATATCTGATAACGTCTCTAGCCACTGTGTTGCACTATCTCTCGGACCCCAGTCAGGGAGTCGTGAAGGACCAACAAAAGCTAGCCCTTTGCAGCTCCCTTTCATGCCACGACACCATGTCATACACTGACCTCCTCTCCGCTTTTTCCAACCAGTCCCAGAGTCGGCAAATAATGCACGACGTGGAAGTCTCTGGGACGATATTCGTAAAACATGTCCAATCCACCGAAGACGGTGTTTCAAGATGGTGACACCAATTGAATTATCGTCTCTGCGCCCAAACACACGATGCCGAACCTCTGCATTACTAATATGGTGTTGCCGCTGGATGTCAGCAATCCTTCGGAGACAACGATGATCGAACACAGAGAGACGTCTAACATCCTCAACTCGGAGAGGCCAGGTTTCACAAGCATAGAGCAAAACTGCTCTCACCGACACGTTGTAGATCCGACCTTTTACAGCCAGACTAACATCACGAATGCGCCAAAGATGGCCCAGATTGGCATAAGCCGCTCTGGCTTTCATTATACGTGCATCAATCTCATCACTCACGCCACCACCAGCACTTATATAGCTACCTAGATACACGAACTTCTCAACTACTTTAATCTGCTCACCATCTAGGGTGAGTACAGGATGAGAATCCTGCCAGTCTTGTGGGAGTACTTTGCACTTCGACGGTGCCAAGCACATGCCGTACCTGCGGACACTGATTAAGTGCGGATTGCATGCCTTGGGCATCATCGCACAGTAAGACAATATCATCCGCATACTCGAGGTCGAGAAGTCGTTCTCCAGGCAGCAGATCCACACCGCCATTACTTACATCCATCAGAGCTGTTTCCAGGATGTCGTCGATGGCAAAGTTGAAGAGGAATGGTGAGATTGGGCAACCCTGTCTAACCCCGCTGCTCGAATGGAACAAGGGAGAAAGGTGGTTGTATGCTCTCACTCTGCCTGATGTGTTCGTATACAGGGCCTTTAAGATGTTAATGAACTTCTCAGGCACACCCTTCTTCAATAGACGATCCCAGAGAACAGTCCTGTCCAACGAATCGAAGGCAGTCCTCATATCAAGAAACACTACGATTGTTCGCCTGCGATAAGTATGATGGTGTTCTAACATTTGGCGGAGGGTGAATATGTGATCAATGCATCCTCGACCAGAACGAAAACCAGCCTGCTCCTCGCGAGTCAAACGTTCTCGGGTTTTAAACAACCTACGAAGAATAACAGAAGCCAATAGTTTGGACGCAATCGGAAGTAGACTTATCTCCCGGTAGTTATTGCAGGAACAACGTGAACCCTTTTTAAAGATAGGGACGACTATCGACTCATTCCATGATGTTGGAACACTTTCTTGCTCCCAAACCTTTGTAAACAACACAGTCAATTCCTTAGTCAGAAAGTCACCACCATCTTTAAAAAGAGCCGAAGGTAAGTCATCTGGGCCCGGTGATTTGTAACGTTTCAAGAGTTGGAGTTCCTTGCGGACTTCCGCCTCGTTTGGTGGATCAGTCGTCACCGGCCATGGGGGGCAGGACAAACTGGTTGATGTTGCCGGAGCAGCAGACCAGTTGAACTGCCCTTCGAAAAATTCCGCCCATCGTCCAAGACGTCCAGAGATGTTAGTGATTGGCATCCCATCATCCTCGTAGATTGTTTCACTCACACCAGACTTCTTGCTGCCAGTGGCTCGGATGAGTTGGAAGAGCTTCCGGAAGTTACCAGATGCAGCTGCTGCTTCCATCTCATTAGCACGCTCCGACCACCAGGCTTCCCGGTCCTTACGCAAGCTTTGCCTAATTTCATTACGTAACAGCCTTCGTTCGTGGTCAAACTCACGGTCACCCAGAGTAGATCGACGGGCTTCCATCAGTTGTAATGAGCCAGAAGTAACCCAGTGCTTATAAGCGGGAGGTTTCACGAAGCCGCAAGCGGCTTCACTCGCCATTTTCATGGCGTCGTGAAGATGCAACCAATGCTCATCTATACTTTTCGGTGGGATGGTAGCTAGCCTAGAAGCTAGCTCAGCTCGATACTTACTTGCAACAGAAGTTGTAGCCAGTTTACTAACATCAATCCGTTGATGGCGGTCATTTCGCCGGCCATTGAAAAGTAAGGTAAGATTGGCGCGGACCAGGGCATGATCAGACTCCAGATAGGTACTCCAAAAGGAGCGGCAGTCTTGTGCACAACCACGCCAGCGGTAGATGATCGCGATGTGATCAATCTGAGTCAAGGCTTGGGATGCAGAGGGAGGACGCCAGGTGGCACACCGGCGATGACTGTGCCGGAAGTTAGTGCTGGCCAGAAACAGGTTGTAGTCTGTGCACAGTTGCAGTAGACGGTCTCCTTTATCTGTCCTGCGACCAACAAGTCCCTATCGGCCACCTAGACGACTCTCTTCTGTACCTAGACGCCCGACCTGTGCATTCAAGTCTCCGGCTAGTACTACAATATCTGTTGAACGCGCTTTCTGGAGAAGAACTGTTAACTAGTGGTAATACTTACCCTTGATTGCATCCGGGCTGCAATCTGTCGGGGCATAGGCGGAGATGACGAAAAGACACCGTTTCTCACGCCGGTTTCTTCTCACTTTGATGGAACTTTCTAATCTAACAGCACATAACCGACTGTTAATGGGGATCCAATCGATTAGTGCTGCCTCAACCCTAGCGCTTAGTGCAACACCAACGCCGGAAAGACCAGACGAAGATGCCATAGAGTCCCCGGATAAGCGCACGTGAAACAAGCTTTTCGAGGCGACAGATGGAGAGCGGATTTGTAGTACTTCACTAGAGTCTTGAATACGGGTCTCGGATAGACAACAAACATCAACATTAAGACCTTCCAAAGACATAGCCAGCCCTATTTGTTGTCTGATCTGCATTAGTGTGCGAACGTTGAAGGAAGCCAGCTTGAACGGCGTACGTGGTTTCAGAAAGACTGCTTCAGTATTCATAAACGGTGGAAGCATTCACTTTCAACCAGACAGTGACTGGAGATCGTTTAGATAGGACAGATTTTCCACCAAGAGCGAGCTGCTGCATAAGATCAAAAGTAAGGTTACACAAATTGGGGATAAAAGGGGGTGAATTAGCGATATGGTAAATAACAATAATAATGATAATAATTATAATAGTAATAATGCAAATTGTTTTGTTTCTAGTATGAGCGAGAATATAATTGTCAGCTGAATGTTTCATTTAATTTATTTGCGAGAGGGCTGTGATGCTGCTCGGGTGCCCAATCCGAAGCAGGTGGTTTTCTTAGGGGGCCACACCCCGAGCCTTTGACCTAGAGGTCTAACCCACAAGGCAGTGGAGCATCGTGAGGAGATGCAGTCCCATGGTAGCCGGTGACCAATAGCTGGTTCATTCGCCATTTGTTCCTTCAGGATACGGGAGCCCATGTGCACCATTGGTTTGGAATCAGGGTTTTCCAACTCCCCTAGGTGGATGCTTCATATCCACCAACCCGGTTATAGCGCCGGACATTCGCTTTTCGTCCTCTTACTTTCGTAAACAACACTCCCACCACGAGAAGGCAGTGAGTAGGACTTCCCTGGCAGAGGCTATATATTCGAGTGGCCATGTGAGAGCATTTCGAGAGGGAGAGCAGACTCTCCCCACTCTCGGCCATACCAGGGCATTTGGGAGTGGAACTCATCAGTACCAATCAACTTCTTTGACTGTGAGAAATAATTTGACAGTGTGGATAGGATGACTCTATGAAACCTTCGACGCTATAATGTATCTGAGGAAACCGTCAGCATCATCCGGAATTCCTAAGATGGACTGCACTGCAAAGTCATGCAAGGAGGACGTCTGACAGACGCATTCCAGGTGAAGGCTGATGCCAGACAAGGCTACCTACTCTCCTCCTTTTTCTTCTAGTTGACAGGATTATGAAGACCTTTATATCTCTTGGGGAAGCAGAGAACATAATGGACAGGTCGCAGTGAACTAGGCGATTTAGACTTTGTATATGACCTGGCCTTTCAATCCCATACACGCGAACAAATGCAGGTCAAGACAAACAGTGTGACGGCAGCCTCTACACTGGTAGGCGTGAACATACACGAGGGGAAAAGCAAGATCGTGAAACACAACATGGCGATCACCAACCAGATCACACTTGGTGGGGAATCACCGGGAGAAGAGGTGGAAACCTTTACGTACCTGGACAGCATTATCGATGAACAAGGAGGATCAAATGCAAACGTAAAGGCAACGATTAGCAAAGCAAGGACAGCATTCCTACAGTTGAAGAACATATGGGACTCAAAACAATTGTCAACCAATATCAAAGTCACAATCTTCAATACGAATGTTAAGACAGTTCTACTGTACGGAGTTGGAACTTGGAGAACTACCACAACCATCACCAAAATGGTACAAGTATTCATAAACAACTGTCTGAGCAGAATATTTCAGATCCGTTGGTCGGACAAACCAGCTTCGAAATGAGGAAATAAGGAAAAAACTCCGGAAGCAGATAGGACATACATTGGGGAGACCATCAAACTGAATCCCGAAGCAAGCGCCAACTTAAAATCCTGAAGACAAAAGGAAAAGATGAAGCCCAAGGAACACATTGGGTCGCGAATAGGAGGCAGACTTTAAAAGAATAAATAGCAGCTGGAAAAGATTGCCGAGGACAGAGTTCGACTGAGAATGCTGGTGGGCGGTCTATGCTCTTCCGCGAGGAGTAACAGATCCAAGTACTATAGCCAAGTGATCACTGACTCATTAGTAAAACCAGACTAGTTAAACGAGATATCCATGCAAATGCTCTTTCATGAAACCAAATAGAACTTGATATTGACTTACCAAGTTGATGTATACTTTAGGATGACCAAGTGCACCACCACCACCGTCACAACTAGTTATATTTTCTTTGCAAGCGATCGGAGGGACCTCTGCTATCAGCTTTTCTGCGAATTGCTTATTGACCTATTAGATAAGACACAAAAACCGAGACAAATTGTAATACGTAACAATGTGTCAAACTTAACACTAGGACATATAATAATAACGTTCATTAAAGTAAGAAGCGAGATGATAATCTATTTATTCGACTGAACACTGTTTGTCCGGTAAGTTAGGGTTTGGAAATATGACAGATTAGTTCTTATGAAGACATTTTTGGTTCCAAATACACGCGAAGAGTCTCAGATGAACTTTATCGATAAATCTCCTGTAAACTCATTTAAACAGCTAGTTCAAAAAGTTTCAAATTTAATCATAATAGTACTCTACCATAATTGTGTTATCCACTTAGTACATGAAAGAACTTTTTAATCCACGAGTGATTATCAGAAATATGTTTTTGAAACCATCTACGGACCTCTATTCCATGAGTTTGGTCTTAGAGAAAACCTTATGGTAAGAGATACTGAATGCTAGCACTCAAAATTAAGGGGAAACTATGATCACTTGCTTCAAATGTGTAATAGATGCATAACTTTTGGACCCCTCATAATAAGTGCAGTCAAACATACTACACCACTAAGTAACGAATAAGCAAAGGCCAAAGATTTCGGGCATGATAAGAGTTTTGCCAATCGTACCTCAAAAGACTAACTTTTCTCATAATCTAGTTGTCATATTTATTTCATCGTTTGTATTTGATTTGGTTCAATCTACTAGCCTCTTAATATTCCTCTCAGACATGCGATTTTACCGAGGAATTTGTTGTTCCCATATCAACCTGAAGATCTAAGTAGTCTTTGTTTCCCCGAATCACGACGATATGAACCTATTTCCACAGACAGATGATGTCAGACTGAAAACCATAATCTGAGATAACTTAAAAGAGACCTGGTTTTTTTACATTTACATAGTATATATATATATATATATATATATATATATATATATAAGCCAGCTGTGTTATATTGAATTCCTGGCAGAAACAATAAGGATTCAGTCGTAAAAACAGCCGAAAACGAAGTGGTCTGATTGTAACAATTCAAAAACGAAACTAGGCAGTGAAAAATAGAAGAATCTTACCAACTTATCACCGATAGTAAATCGTGCAACTGATGGGTCATTTAGCGAAAACGTCTAATCATCAGTAGATAAATACGGATAAACACTAAACCTGGCCAGTGTGGGTTACTGTTGCTGCACTTTCCGTACCGTATAACCTGTATCTTAGGTAAATTGGAAGGCGCAAGAATTTGACTCCATTAAGTGCCATAGGAACTACCAGGAGGACGAAAAGACTCTCCAACCTGACCGCGCTTTTGATAGGACGACCTTCAGTCTTCAGTAATAAGGATAGGAGGTCTATTGACCTATTGTTACACTGTGGAGGTCCAATCTCGTCTTGAATATATATCAACAGAAGGTGCTGATATTACGTGTTCTGGTAGAGAATTACAGTAATTCACTACTCGGTGCGAAAAACGAAACTCCAGACGTAGACGATTTGATCTCGGTTTTTGGACTTTCTTCGAATGTCCTCTCAAGTGATCAGCCCTAGATGGAAGGAAAAGATAGGACATGTTAGTACCAAGGTTATCGCTCAGGATACGATATGCCAATATTAGATTACCCCGTATTCGCCGGTAAGATAACGGAAATAAGTTGAGATGTCTCAGTCTGTCTTCATAAGATAGGCCTTTTACCATTTTTGTCACGTGGCGTTGGACTCGTTCCAACATATCCGCCTCATATTTGAAAAAAGGACTCGCTGCTTGAACCCCATATTCCAAATGTGGCCGTACGAAAGTTGGGTATAATAATCTAAACATTTCCCCATCCAGATACCGGAAAGATCTACGAATAGACCATAATACCCTATAACCTTTTGCAGCAGCAGCCTTAAAGTGACTGGTTGTTTTGAGATCATTACTCAGTATGACTCCTAAATCTTTATGGTTTCTTACTTTGGGCAACACTAGTCCACATATTGTGTAGTAATGCGAATCATCGTAGTTGTTTGATTGCATCACGGCACTTTTGTTAGGATTCATTTCTAGTGACCACCTGTTCATCCATGCCACTAATGAGTTGAGATCTTCCTGTAATACTATTCTGTCTGACATGCTATATACGGGTCTTCAAATCTTTGTGTCATCGGCGAAGAGTAGGACGGATGAGGAGAGGACCTAGGATTGTGCCTTGAGTGACTCCACTTTTTACTGGTTCCCACAATCAGAGAGCTCCATTTACTCTTACCCTTTGTCTCCTGTCATGAAGAAAGTCAACTATCCAGTCTATGACTGCATAATTAATTCAAAAACATTCCAGTTTTAATTTAAGACCAGAATGGGAAACCTTATCAAAGGCTTTACTTAGATCTATGAAAATGACATATATAGGAATATTGCGATCTTTGGTCTCAGCCCTATCTTCTCTTGCAATGAGAAGATTTGTCAAACATGATAGGCCTTTCCGAGAACCATGTTGTTCCTTTGACAAAAGATCATGTATTTCCACGTAGTTTATAAGAGCCATCCTAATAATTTTTTCTACAACTGCACTAGTTAAGCTGACGGGACAATAGTTACTAACTAAATCTCTACTCCCAGTCTTGTACACCGGACTGATTATAGCATCTTTCCAGTCTCTGGGAAATTTGGACTGCCGCAGGGACATATCAAACAGTACCGCTAAAGATTCAGCAATTTTATCGGATAGGGCTTTCATAATCCTAGGATGAATATCATCAGGACCACTGGACTTATCAGGTTTGAGGTGCTGAAGTAGTCGTAAGACAGTAACTTTCTCAATAACTACAGGGTCCATCAACAAGACGCCACAATCACAATGAATAGGTGGTCGTTCCTCATTATGGGTAGAAGAAACTTTACTGAAATATTCCGATAAAGCTTCGGCTTTTTCGGTATCATTTCTTGCCAAAATTAACGGATTTTCTTGTATCAAAAGTGATGGGATTCCATCAGTTCTCTGAGTTCGCCTCTTTATATACGAGAACAACCGTTTTGTACCATATTTACAATCCCTAACCATTTTTTTTTCATATGGCCGTCTAGTCCTACTAGTTAATGCTTTAAAAGTATTTCTAATCTTACAATAGCTGGATCTGTACTATCCTAAGCCAGTAGAGATGGACATATTCCAGTGCTTTTTCATACGTCTAAGAAGTTTCTTGACTTGTTTATTTATCCATGGTGGACTATTATTCGGTCTACGTGGTACCAAGTATGGTATGAGCGGGGACGTGACTGCACTAAACTTGCCTTTAAGTATAGACCACGCCTCTTCAACTGATGCGCTAGTATCTACTAACCATTCTATCTTAGCAGCACACTCCTGAATTTCTGGTATGTTAGCTCTCCATATGTTTGGGCGAGGCTTAATCTGATCGTATACCATGTTGCTAGCTCTAAACGTGAATGATAAAACAGCGTATTCGCTATTTACTAACGGGGGACGAATATTTAGGTTGGCAATATCCTCAGTCTCATGAGTGATTACCAAGTCCAACAGAGAAGAGCCTTGGTTTACACCAAAACGTGTAGGTTTGGATACATGCTGTACTAATGCATGCTCCATTATTGTTTCCAAGATCCTGTTATCAAAGGAGTTTATAGATCCTTTCGTGATCATCTCAGTCCAACTAATGTTAGGTGCACTAAAGTCTTCTAATATCAAGAATCTGTTATTTGCACTCCATAGCCGGATGTGCTCTAAAATAAAGTCATCAGCTAAGCAGATTGGGCTGCGATAGATGACACCGAGTACAAATGTACAACATCCAATAGTGAGCTCACAGCTAATTATATCACAATTTCCACTATCATGGGATTCGCAAACGGGGGAGCGGATATTTATATTACTGGCTATGTATAGAAGGACGCCACCTCCTTTCTTGCATCTATGTCTATCACTTCTTAAACAATGGTATCCGGACAATTCTGGGGTAATATCGAAGTCATGGACTAACCAAATTTCCGTCACAGCTACAATGAATGGTCTTAATTTGTCCACTAATGCTCCTAGCTTGTGGAATTTATGTCCTAGACTACGGGAGTTGGCATATAAAACTCCTAGGAAGAAGGACCTATCCACACGGGCCTTGGTAGCATTCGCTTCCAAGACCTGACTATTCGAAAACCCAATAATCAGAGCTTGTCATCACCGTTTAGTCGATGGGTTTCTAGTTCAGCTAGTGCCGTCTTCCTTTTTATTCTATCTTCAAGAGACATATCCGGTCTAATTCGAATGTCAGAGTTGTCGTGACTTCGAGCGCTACTTAACAGAAGATCACGTTGCCTCTCCGACCCTAGGATTACCTTAAGATGTCTACATGGTCGGGGTAGAACACTGTCATTGGCCCTTTTACCTATTCTAACCAATTTTTGACCTGAATACCTTTAGTGTTATCTGGTAATATGCTATTCTCCGAGCCTCTCTAAGTCATGGGTGTGTCTGACCTTAGGATCTGGATCGTTAGACTCTGGCAGTTAACTCACAATGATATTCGACGATATTAAGTTCCTCTCAGTCGCACTAGGGTGATGTTCTGCCGTTCTATCCGAGTGTGATAGTGCATTGTGTGACTCAGAATGCGAGTTCACCAATGACATGTCATCCAAGTGTGTTTTATCTTTAGCTTTTTTCCTTTTCTTTTCCTACTTACTGCGGTCCATTTTTCATCATTTAGGACAGCTGCATCGGGACTATTGGGGACGGAGACGGTACTATCCGGGTCCTCAATTTCTACAGATGTATGACCACTCATGTAAATATCAGGTCGTCATTTACTCCCGGTTTGTTGTAACGGAAGTTTCACTTGGCCATTATTCACAGTAGGTTGTTTAGCGCGTTTTGTAACAGCACTTACAACACTGACACAGTCTTCACTGTCAGTACTTGCGTTACTAGAGCACCCATAATCGTTCTTTTTACGGGCTAGAGCCAATAGGCTCGTAGCCTTCTATCGTCTTGTTAGTACAGCAGAACATACAAAGCCAGTGTGAATCAGGCTAAGAGCATCTTTTGTATGCAGCTGGACTGAAACGGGTACACATCTTGGGGAACCACTTTTTGCATTCATCACACTGCATCCCTTCATCTACGGGGAATAAACAGTTCCACTGTCCACATTTGAATGCACTGCCAGCCATTGTAATCAGATTAGGGTTAAAACAAAATATGATCACAATAAAAACACAAGTGTCGGAGTATATATATATATATATAAGTTGGAGGTACCACGAGACAAAGTCTTCAAAAAAATTGCAAATCTTAACTGCAATAATTCAAGTTAAGCAGTCAAAACCCGTTGAAATCAAAGCTGAACAGAAAAGAATAACTTCAGGAGAGATACTGTTATACTCTAGTCACAAAGAAGAAAATGACTCGCACACAAAAGAACTTGCACTGATGGTCTGCGAAAATTGCTTATAGGACGGGAATCTCATAGATTATCAAAGCATCCTGCAAAACGAAGAAGAGGTTACAGTGAATGTTATCCAGTGTTATGCGCTCACAAAAGGTGACAACCAAAATAACAAAGATGGGACAGCAGTTCATCCTAGAGAAGTGCCCAGGATAGCATCTGATCATCCTGATGGGAGACTCAAACGCCAAAGTCGGAATGGACAACACCGGGTATGAAGATATCGTGGAACAACATGGACTGTGAGAAAGGAACAAGAATGGTGAGGGATTTGTAAATCTATGTGCTTTTAACAACATGATTATAAGTGGCACCATTTACCTCTACACATGCATACACAAGGCAACATAGGTTTCACTAGACCACATTACAGAGAATCAGGTCGAAAATATTTGGATCAATAAAAACTCAGAAAATCCATGGGAGATGTGAGAACCAGGAAAAGAACCGACAGCTTTAGATCACCCCACCTGATTGTGACTGCCGAGGTAAGACTGAAGCTAAAGAAGCACTGGACAACTGGGGAAACAGCATTACAATGGTTCAATACAACCTTCCTTCGACATACTGACAAACTACTCAACGAATTCAAGATAGCTTTCAACAGTAGGTTCCAAGCCTCCCATGATCTACTGAGAGAAGATGAAACCACTATGGAGAACAACTGGAAACAGATCAAAGAAGCACTAACTTCAAAGTGTCAGGAGGTTCTGGGTTGCAACAAGCTGCTCACTCTCACCTTTCATCCTTCTGGGAGTTAACTGGATTACTAAGATCTTTACATTTCAGGGTAATCACGAAATACAGCGGACATCTTGGATGCAGTTGAAAGATTTTGACTTTACAGACGAGCTGGCTCTTCTATCCTACATACAGCAACAAATGCAGGTGAAAACAGCCAATAGGGCCG